GGACTAGGGATGCTCATGCCCAGTACTCACCTGGTGAAGTCCTCATCCCCTATCATGTGCCGAGGGATGGGCGAGTACCGGGATGGAGTCACCTGGGGAGGGACTGGGTAGGCAGGCTTGCTCTCGATGCTGCCAAGGTAGCCCAGATTGGAGTTATGGCTTATATGGTTGTCAGCCAAGGCTGAGAAGGCTGCAGGGGAGGAGAAGGACATCAGGAACAGAAATCCATCTGCAACGCGGACATGGAGACCAGCCCAGCATTGCCTGCCACCCGAGCAGGCTCTGTGCCCCCAGCCCTGCAGTACCCGGGCCGCCGTGCCGGCAGCCAGCGCCATACGTACTGCTGGCGTAGTCGGGGGGCGCGTACATGTCGTTGAGGTGGATGTTGCCAGGCTTGGCCACTTTCAGGTACACCATGTCAGAAGTGTTCTTCAGGGCAGCCACAGCCTCCTCGTGCCGCACGTCCTGCAGGTTCGTGTTATTCACCTGCCAGAGGGAAGGGGCTGGTAGATGCAGCCACAGATGGGAGGGCAGGGGCTGATGCAGCCCTGTGGGAGCAGAGTGGTTTCCCATAGGGAAGATGCCACAGGAGCTTCAATGACAGGGTCCCATCTTCATGCATTTGGCCCTCCTGCCTGCAACTAGTTCTGCACCTATTCCTCCCACGGCACTGTCCCAGTGGGGTTCCCAGGGAAGGTGGCATGGGGCTGCTGGCAGGAGGGGTGCTGGGTGCAGGATCAGCATCACAGCTCAGTGGAGACTGCCAAGCTTCACCTGGTGTCCAGCTTACCGCGAGCAGCCGGTCCCCAATCTGCAGGCGCCCGTCCTTCTGGGCAGCACCTCCCTCGATGATCTTGGTGATGTAGATGCTGTTATCCCCAGGGATGTGCTGGTTCCCGATGCCCCCGGCGATGCTGAACCCCAGGCCTGAGGGGGAGTGAGAAGGCACGTGAGGGATGAGGGACAGATGGACAGAGCCCTGGGATGGCACCACACCCCCTCTGCCTCACTGGACTTCCCACCCTGCCCTAACCATGGCAAGCAATGAGCCACCCTGCTGCTGCACAGGTACAACCCAGCCACTGTGCACTGTGCCATGGGGCTGTCCCATACCCTGTGCCCCATAGGATGCCACACTGCTGGACCACCCTGTGGCATCCTCCACCACGGTGCTGCCACCTCGCATCCCACAACCCCTGTGATGCCGTCTCGCCACCCCATGGCACCCTACACCAGGGGGCCACCCCAAACCGTTTCACGGGGCAGCAGGGCACCCCGGTCCTGAGAGCACAGTGGGGGGATTCACCTTTGGGGCCCTTCATGAGGTTGACCTCCATGATGGTCTCTGGTGGGGGCTGCCGGCGGCGCACCACGAGCCGCACCACGGGCCCCGCTTCCTTCAGGGCCTCCACGGCTTTGCTGTGCACCACCTCAGAGACGTCCACGTCGTTCACCCGCAGCACGCAGTCGTTCACCCTGCAGGCACAGGGTGGCCCTGAGCTTCCCTGGGGAACTGCCAGCCTGTGCCACCCTCCTCCAGCCAAGGAAACCCTTTTGTGAAGGAGAGTTGCTCAAGCTGGCTAGATGCTGCCCTGCTGGGGTGAGAGTAGGGTCCATCTGGAAGGGAGAGGCAGTGGGACTGGTCCCCACAGTGTGACCCCGGTGGAGATGGGAGATGAGGGGAAAGGGGATGGCTGCAGACAGGAGGCTGCTGGCAGGGGACAGTGGGCATCCCAGTACTGGGGGGACCTGGCTATGGGGAAGGGACCAGGAGCTGCGCAGAAGGTCCCTGGGGAGATCCCGGGTGACACCCTGATGGGGCTGCACCCCTGGCCATATCCACTCACCCTAGACGGCCGTCCATGGCTGCTGCTCCCCCGGGGATGATTTTGGTGATGAAGATACCTGGGTCATCTGGAATGTGGGGGTTGTCAATTCCTCCTGCTATGCTGAAGCCGAGGCCAGAGTTACCCTGCAGGAAATCAAACACCGCGTCTTTCCCCTGCAGGCAAGCGCCTGCTGCTGCCGTCCCGAAATGGTTCCCTCTGAGCTGCGGCTGCCTGGGCTCTTACAGCATCTGTTGCACTCCAGGGTGCCCAGCTCAGAGGGCAGAGGGATGCGTGGCCGGAGGGGAGGCCGGTGCTCATCAGCCGAGGCGTTCGGTGCAGCAGAGTAGAGCACCCAACAGATGGAGCGGGAGAGTGGGAGCCGCCGAGGACCTCCGCCACCGCATCTCTGCCGAGAGACTCTGAGGCAGGCAGTGAGCTGGGGGAAGAGGGGGTGGTCCTTGGCGGAGAAAACCTCCCCTTGCTGGCTGTTCCTTAGGAGGAGACACTGATGCTGCAGCCCTCATGGAGCAGTGGGGCTTGTGCCAGTCATCAGCATCCCACCCTGGCCGTCCTACACCCTGGGAAGCAGCTTTGGCACAGGCCAACACTGGGACCAGTAGAGCTGATGACACAATTTGCAGGATTGGGTGGAGGGGGCTGCCAGGATGAAGTGGGGTCTCCAGTCCTGCCTCCTCTCCATCTCAGTCATGTTTGGACTCTCACTTGAGCTTTGTCGGGGGAATGCAGCAGCTGTGCTGCCTCTCCAGCCCTACAGTATCCCAGGACAAGAGGCCGTGGCCCTGTGCTGCCCCTCCCAGGATTTTACAGGATCCTCATTAGTGTCACACTCACAGGTGCTGCTTCCAGCTCCATGTTTGATGCAAGTGGACAATTTCTGCTTTTTCTGCTCTGCCTTGAAAATCAGATGGCTCCTCACCTTGTTAGCACCAGTGGAAGAGCTGACACTTGGTCACATCCTATCACGCCTGCCTTTCTTGTACACAAATGAGATCAGACCAAGCACTTTCCTGGCTGTTCAGCCACACTCAGCGTTAGGGAATGGGGAGCTCTGACTTTCTAGGGGACCTGTGGCCAGGAGGGCCACGCTGGAGCTCAGACTCCCTGAGATCATCCAGCACCAGCAGCCAGCTGGGGTTCATGCTTCTCCCCATTTGGGGAGCCCCAATTTGGGCTCAGCATCAGCTCTTGCAGCGACACTGAGATCTCTGTTCTGACTTTATGCCACTCATGACACAGTGTGTAGCATCTCTGAAAGCCACCAATGCCATTTAACAGTGAAAGGTCTCAGGCCACTCTCCTTTCTCTGAGTTGGATTCTGGTTACCCTGCTCAGAAAAGTTGCTTACTGTCATCAGAGACCCAGCCTGGAAAAGCTGGTGAGTCTGTGCAAAATGGCCATTTGTTGTGCCTGTTTATGGAAGGGTGTGCTTCAATGCTTGCTATAGAACTTGGAAGTTATCTGGGAGGTATTTATTTATGTTTTGATAAACCTGACATGCTGCCACTGTAGACACATGAATGGTGGGCAAACCCAAACCCACATTCCTCTGCAGACTTTTTTTCCTCAGTTATTGCCCCCAAAATGCTCCTTCATTTGCCCTTGTCTTTACAACAAGGACAAGGACTAGTAACAGTGACAGACCACCAATTTTGGGGTACACTGAGGTCATCTCTGGGAGCCCAACACCTCAGCAAAGGGACAAACTCACCCACAGGCATCAGGGTTCTCCTCCTACAGTAAGATGGGGCTGTTGGGTCTCACTGGGGACCAGGTGAAAGGAGGAGGACCTGGGTATGGTCCATGCTGGCCCTGACTACTAAGCCCAGAAATTCCCTCATGGTTTCTCACTGTTGGAGAGAGAATGGCTGCCTGAGGCTTTGAAATGGGGGCAGCAACGAGTTCTGCCTCTCTGTGTGACCCTGCCAACTCCTCCCCTGCTGTGGGCTGAGGACAGAGGATGCTCTGAAGAATCCCTGAAAACAAGGCTTTTGACTCTAAATAGGGCCTGGAGCGAGAAGCGTTCAGCCCAAAAAGGAAGCATCCCCTGGGCTGGCTTCGTCAGGCATTGCCGGGGAAGTGGTGGGTGAGGCGGCAGCCCCAGATAACCTTCCGTCCACCCACCTCTGTGATGCACAGCCAAGGAGAGGAGGGAGATGACTAAAGGCAGAGAGGAACAGAATAATGAGTGATGTGTCTTCCCCTGTGACGCTGGCCACGTGGCAAGGCCGAGCCATCCGGCGCGGCAGCAAGGAGGAGGCAAGGTGTGCTGTGGAGTGTCCCGGCCATTCCCACTCAGTATGGCTGTGCCCACCTCTTGGAGCAAACCTTGGGCCAGCTTTTCGCCCTCCCTCTTCATCCCTTGATCCCTGCTGCTCCCTGGCTGTCAGAGGAAAAGCCTTCCCTGCCTTCTTTGGTTCTAGCTCACCCATGGATGAGCCCCATCCATGAGTAGAGCTAATTTTAATCACAGCCAGCGTGGTGCCCCACCATGGGGCACCTGTTGGCTCTGCGTTGCCAACAGACAAGAAATGGCTCAAACAGAAATTCCTTGTGGTCTGGTTTACTACAAAATCCCTCCTTGCTGCTTAGCATCCCTGGGCTGTGCACCCTGGAGTGACAGGGAGCTGGGTGCTGGGGAGGCATCGGTGCTTGGCCGTGGGGCTGCGCCCACCCGTGTGCCTGCACAAGCAGAGCTCCCTGCACCTCCATTTCCCAGCAAAGGTGGTGACAAAGAGCCTCCTCCCCCAGCTCTGTGCTGGCAGGTTTGTGGGGGCGAGGGTGTGAATGAGGGAGGTGAGGGAGAAGCCCTCCTCCCTCCCTTCTGGAGGGGTGTGTGGGGGCAGGAAGCCGCAAGCCCACCCCTCCCTGTGCTGCAGGGGCCATACAGGGAAGGCAGGCATGACACCCCCAAAACCTCCAGAGAGGGGAGCATAGATGGGTCTCTCCCCATCAGCTGCTGTGGGGTGGCTGTGCTGGTGGGAGGGAGAGTGGGAAGAGGCAGGAAAGTCTGCCAGTGGGGGAGTAAAGAGCACTTACCCTTTCCAAGACAATCTCCTCGTATTTGAACATCCCATCGCTGCCGTTCACCTGGGGAGAGGGAGACAGTGTGTTATGGCTCTGTGGCAGTTCTGGGGGCATTTCCTTTTCCCTTCTGATAGCCGAGTATCAAGAATCCAACCTAAAAGCTGTGCCATCACTGCTGAAAAAGCCTTAAATGCAATCCCTGGAGCCTGCCCTGGGATTAAACCATGTGCTGCTTTTCTTTCTGGGCGTGAGCCAAAGCCCACTGACTTTAATGCACTTCAGAGCAAAGCCTTTATTCTCCCAGCTCATTTCTCCAGCCATGAAAAGGAACACAACCCAAGGCACAAAAAGAAATAATGCCTTTGTTACGCAGCATGTAATTAACCTCAGGAATTCACTGCTGCAGGAAGGAAAAGAGGTTGGTCCATTTAAAGGAAAAAAAATAAAATGTATGTACATAATCAACACCTTTAGCAGCCTGTAACTTGCAAATCTTTTAGTAACATGACTGTGTAGATGAGGAATTCAGAACAATTTATTCTACAAAATTAGCTGGGTGCAAAGGTAACAAGGTGTGAGTGTGGGGCACAGTAAGAGGGGAAAACAATGTGATGATGTTACTTAAAAAAAGATGGTGTATCCTGTCTCAGTGCTGTACACCAAACTGATCCCCATGCTTCAAAATCTCCCATACCCAAAGCATCAAAGCAGGACTCTGGGAAATAAAAGGGATGTAACTCTAGGCTCTGAAACAAGAAACATTAAATGTACGGGTCAAAAACTTCCTTTTTCTCCATAAGCAGCAATGCACAGGAAAATAAGGTGGCAGGTCATCAGGATCAGGCCATAAACAGCTGTCAAGGTCTAAAATTTAGCAAGATATGCAAATAAATTAGCCATTGGAACATCTAGAGCTGTTACATTCAACAGCAACAGTTTTAGAGGGGACTGGACTCACCCTCACAATTTGAGTCACTCTGGGAAACAGGTTGGGGTGCAGGCAGGTCTGCAAGGCATGGCAGAGGTGGCAGGACCTGGAGCTCAGCAGGCAAACACCTCTTCCAACATGCAGCTCTGCCTCTGCCTGTGGCCCCTGGGCAATGTGTAGGGTTTCTCATGTAGATTTTACACCTGCCATTAATTCATTAAATCATCTGGAGCCACTTTCTGGATGCACTCTGTTATGCAAACTGGAGCTGCTGTGCCTTTGGATACAGCTCCCCTTATCCAGCACTGGCATACTGGTTTTATACTGCTTGCCCAGCTCTCTGCCATCCACTCCCATGCAAGCACAGCCCAGACACCCTCCAAAACCCTGCAGTGCTGGGTCATTAGATGGAGAGGACAGCAAACATCATTTATGCTAAATCCATCACTTGACATCACAGAAGGAAACTCAGCTAAGTGATTGTGAAGCCCTACTTATAGGTAGGAAGAGGAAACATGAGTTTTCTAGATGGGAATAATCAGGTGCCCAGGTGAAAGAGCAGTTCTGCATGCCAGCATCTGGGATGGGGCTCTGTTACCTGCGAGACATGTATCCTCATCCCCTGCCTGCTTCAGCTCTGGTGAGGCCAGAGCAATCCCACACCCTGTTGTGGGACCTGCCCTTAAAGAAGGATGAGGCTGAGGAGAGTCAGAGCAGAGAGATGGGGTGGGGGCTCCAGGGAACTTGGGCTAAGAGGGTTGCTCCTCCTGAGATGTTCTCTGTGTCTGGTGCCTCTCAGCCACAGGAAGATTTTAGGGCATGGTTCAGGGTCAGGACACTGAGATGCTCCAATATTGGGATGCTCTGATCCTCCAAGCACACTGCAAAAAGCTTTGCTCAGCTCTTGAACAGGAACCCTCTGCAGGAAAAGCACAGGGATTTGTGGGATTAACCCACAGCAGGATCCCCGACAGCCTTGGAGGGACAGGGACGTGCAGGCACTGCCACCTCCTGCCACAGGACCACCCTGGGATGTGCTCCTGCAGGCAGGGGGACATTGCTTCCCTCCCCACAGGCTCCCCCTGAGCCACAGGTTGCCTTTCCATCCTTGCATCCCACCGTACTGACTAATCCCGAGCGGAGCCGCCCGCTGCCCCCGCAGCCTCCCTCACCGCAGCCTCTGGGCTCCTCCTGTCTCCCCAGCCTGGTGCGTGGGGCGCAGCGTCGCCTCTCCCCGGCTTTCCAGCAGCTCCAGATTCCTGGCACCCTTCGCTACTACACACATTGTCCTCTCTGCTTTGGCATTCCAGGCGGTTGCCACGCAGGCAGCCATCCGCACACCCACGGCCACGGAGGAACAGCACATCCACACCCAGGGGACGGGGATGTGCAGGGAACTGACAATCTGTGAGGCGCAGAGGGAGCCAGCAGCTCGCCAGCCTCACCCAGCAGCCGCTGCCAGCAAGTGCTCAGGGGCACAGAGACACCCTGGCATGCAGCCCCCCCAGGCACCTCACTGCCAGGCAGGGGAGTTTGGGGTATCCCTGCTCCCCAAATCTTGGTGCTGCCAAGGCTGAGTGGTGTCTTGCATCACTCCTTGAAAGTCAGTGATGTCAGCACTTGCCCGGCAGAGCGTGTGCTGGGAGCAACCTGCTCTGGCCGGGCACGCTGGGGTCAGACGGGCCTGACCATGAAGCTTTTGCTCTGATTATGTTTCCAAAATCCACGCAACAGAACGCCAGTTAATTGCATAAGGAAGCCAAATGGGAGACCTTAATATATACCATGTAACCAAGGGAACAAGCCAACAAAGCAAACGTTCCAGCATTGGAAAATTGAATACCAGTCATTCACTGACGGCAAAACCTCCCCACAGCACCCACCGGAGCTGCTGCAACCTGCCTCTTCCTTCTCCTTCACCCTGTGGTCCTCCCCAGAGCTGCTGATGGGGGCCATTTCAGTGCTATGGGCTAGATGGGGGGATGCCCAGCTCCAACACCTCCAGGCAGGGAGAGAACACTCCACCCTGCTTCCATCTCCCCATGTCAGGCTTGCAGAACAGACAGGGGTGTCAGGGGCTAAGTAGTTGCTCCCAGCGTATCCCAGTCCTAAGCACCATCTGATTTCTCATGGAAAAGGTTAAGAGTAATATTTTCCAAGCCCTTCCCATGCAGCAAGCCCACCTGAAGCCTCAAGAAGAGGCCCTCTCTGCTGGCCTTCCCTCCCCTTTCATGTTTTAGGCAGTAGGGAAATAGTGATGATGACATTTCAGTCATCAACAGAAGGCTGCAGAGTTAACACTCATTTGCTAAACAGAAGAGCACACACCTTCCAGAGCTACTGCAAGCTGTCTGCAGGCTCCACCAGCCAACACTGCACCAGCACACATGGAACATGCTTTGCAATGTGCTAGAGAGTCAGGATTTGGGTTGGTTTTGTGTTTGTTTTGTTTTTTTTTAAATCAAAAAGGAGGACGAATTTAGAAGACTAAGATGGGGTTCCTCAAACTCTACTCAAATACCTCACCAGGATGCAAGAGGAACTGACCTGCAAGAAGGATACCACTGCCCACAGCCACGTTTGGAGCAGGATCTAGCCCATATCTTGTGGTTAGGATGCAACGGGAACAGGCATCGGGAGCTGGTGGTGGAGCAGTTGTGTACAGATACAATGAAGACAGTCTGAATGCTGGAGGGTCAGCCCTTGGCAGTGCCAGCCAGACCCAGGGGTGGAGGATGCCTGGCAATGCCCCACGCCTGCCCAGTGAGAGAAAAGCAGAGCAGCCCCATGGGCACCTCCCCACTGGGGCAGGCAGTAGCAGAGAGCTCTCCCTGCCTGTACATGGCAGAGGACCCAGGAGAAACAGGTCAAGAGCTCCAGTCCTCCACTGTTGCAGGCTGTTTTAATAAACAATGGATATGTGAGCAATCCTGTTTTTACTGATAGAACACCTGGGCCTCGATGACCAAGGACTCTCTCATGAGAACCAGTTGATAAAAGTGAGCTAACAAAGTAAACATCCAAACATGCCAGAGGAGGAGATGGGGTGGAGAGTCCTGATTGAGCCTGGGCCAAGGAGCCAGTCACTGTTCAGACCGTGGCAGGCTCTAGTACAACTGACCAATCATAAGTGCAACCCTGGACATGTAAAATCCGGGCTAAGGGTATATAAGTGCCTGTAACTTCTAATAAAGTTGGAGTTTGCTCTGTCAATCATATTGATTGTCTTGCATTCTTCCCTCGCTGGAATACACCTCCACGAGCCGGCCAGGCACACAGACACTTCACTTCTCTGCATCCATGATCCTGCCACAGCACCGAGACCTACTGACTTGCTTCCAGACAAACCTTGGCCTCAACCCTCTTGCGTGCAGAGCCCATGGAATTGGCCTTGAGCAGAGAGCAAACAAGCACCATATTCTTGCTCAGCCTTTTGCCAGAGGGCCATGGGGATGAGGCTGCTGAGCTCGGGCAGAGGGAACAGGTTTCAAGCCCTAGCACACAGCTGGGAGGGCTCTGCAGCCACCCTGTCTGTGGGTACTGGCAGCAGGATGTGCCACTGCCAGCACTGGGGACCACAGTGTGAGGATGGCAGTTTAGTTGTTTTTTTAGGCTTACAAGTAAGTTTTGCCCTGCTCAAAAGCACTAGACCGTGGCAGCCATCCCTGCTGCCCCTGACCCTGCAACAGACTTTGAAACACAGAGGACCTGTCTGCCATGGGAACTGGGTTTCCAATGCTCCATCTGCCTGCTATGGACCTGCTGGGCAAACTACACCAAGGCCTGAAACTGTGAGCAATGACCAGGAGCAGGCACAGCTGATCCCCCCAAGCAACTGTCCTTCCTCTTCAAGGGGTGGTTTTAATACAAAAGGCATTTCCCAAGGATTTGTTTGGGTTTTTACACCCTGAGGGTTTCTGGGCTCTGCATAAGCCCTGGCGGTGAGTGGGACCCAGTGCTGCAGCTCGTGCCTTATGGTGTTACTGGTGCCACATGCTCTTGGGGATGGAGGTGGGTAGACAAAGATACTGAAATGTGAGGCAGACTTCTTGATAAACAGCCGGGGCCAAACTCAGCCCAGAAGCTAGTCCAATGCAATCAATGGAGCTAGAACAGGAAGGAACTAGACCACAAC